CCCCCCCCCCCCCCCCCTCTGGTCACCTCGCTTGCAAGTATGGCACCACAGCTCCTGGAGGCGGCAAGAGTCGTTGTTCTTCGACAGACAGAACTCGCTCTCGATGCTCTGCAGCTCGCGGTCGCTGCTGTCTGCCTTCATCAGGGGGCTCACGAAGAACTGCGCGAAAATGTCCAATGCCTGTGTGTCGTGTCGCAGATGGGGTTGGGGGGAGGGGAACAACACCTGGTGTGATCTCTCGAGACAGGGCACCGTGCCTACTCTTACTAGAGACTAAACCATCGACGTTTGTATGTTCTGATGACGTGTCTGCCATTCATCAGACCGGAGGTAGACGGTGCATCCTCGCATCGTGCACCCTCCCGAGCACGGCTGGTGGGACGCGAAAAGGGGGAGGGAGAGTAGCTACGCGGCGGAGCGTGCCACTCGCTCGTTGTCCATAGCCAGGCTTTAAACATAAAACATCGCTACATTGATATCTTACCTTGGCGTTCACCGTTGAACGTTACCTTTGCAACACTTTTCACAGAAATATTTATACCTAAACTTCCGAGACAAACGCAGTACCATGGAATCTCGTCCGCGTCGCTTGGGCGCAGGTTCAAGCACACGGCGTACCAAAGCAACCAGTGGCGATATGGAGACCCACGCAGCAAACACAGCACCCGCACAAGCACCGGCGAACTGCACTCTAGTCGTCTTGTCTTGAAACAGCAGTCTTTCTTGTCTCCAAACCTGCAGCAGTTAGTCGTATTTCGACGGCAGGGGACAGCAACAAGAGATTACCCAAGCTGACGTCACTGATGCTGATGCTGTGTCTACGCACCTTCTCCAGGTGTTGCGGCAGCACGTCGAAGTGGTAGAGGGTGTACTCGCACTCGGTGAAGGCGTTGGTGGAGCCGCCGCTGGCGGAGATGAAGGAGTCGTACTCGTTTTCGTCGGGGTATTTGGTCGAGCCCATGAACAGCATGTGCTCCAGGTAGTGGGCCAGGCCCTGGTGTATGCCACACATACATTTTTCAACAGGTTAAAATAAGGTTGCTATACGCACTGCTATACGCACAACGCGGTGTTAGCACAAGAACATTTTTCCACAAGCAACGAACAGGGTAAGTCGTATTTCGTGATGATTTTTGCTTCTTCAGTTCGAACGGCGCGTGTTCGCGGTGCATGCTCGGACCCATGGATTTGCGGGGGAGAAAAAGCGAGCGGTAGAGTCGGAAGGAATACAAAACTTTTCTGGGGAACCCAGCGCCTGGTTGGCACGTTTCTGCAGCCTCAGCCGCCAAAGAAACCAAGCGTGTACAAAAACAAAATTGTTTCCGTGACCTATCTCCCGTGGGGGGCGGGGGCGGGAGGGTTCCGCTGGATGCTGCCACTCCAAACGGGCGCGCACCTGGCAGTGCTCGGGGTCCGACAAATTTCCCACGGAAACCGCCATCGCCGCCGCCGCCTTCTTGACGCCCTCTAGCTGCTGCTCCCCTTCGTCCTGGCCGTCTAGCCCTTCTCTCTCCTCTTCCTCCTCGCTGTCGTCGTTGTCGTCGTCGTCGTCGTCGTCGTCGTCGTCCTTGTTGTCATAGGAGTCTTTCTTGTCTTCTTCATTATCATCGTCGTCTTCGTATTCAGAGCTGCAGTCCATGGTTCCCTGACTCCCGCCGCTGCTCTTGCTGTTGCTCCTGTTCGACCTCCCGGAAAACTCATCTCGTCAGCTTGTTCGACTACTGTCGTGGATAGGTGTCGTGATACCGCCTTGCAGTGACACAAGTTGGCCTCTTGGCCGTAACCATACAAAAGTCATACACCAGGAGATGGGACCGGAATCACATCACGAAGTGTTTGCGAGGTGATTTCGTAGCTCCAAAGAGCAAGAAGACCTGGACGCAGCATATAGCACTTGCACACGTGATGCACAACTATGTACAGCGACAAAATCCGCACGCCATTTCTCAGCACGCAACCGAGTATGTATGTGGCTGCACTTGTTACTACTGGCTGCGCAAGACGTTCTCAACAACGCCCGAAGTATTCCTTGTGATGCAAAAAAAAAGCAAACGCATAACGGGTTCATGTGCGCACATGCATGCTGGCGAGTGTGGCAGGAAGAGCATGTCGGACGACTCAGGGCGACAGCTACCAGCCTGATTTGCTCTCTGTCCATAAAATAGATATGCCATTCCGTCGATTCTCCTCGCGCAGAAACTATATACTTCTTCCAATGGAACATCTCATGGTATTGGCGTCAACGAACCCGCACCCGTTCGCCACCGCAGCGGGGGGATCGTGTATCAGCAAGACTCGAAGGCCGTTCGGAAGCTTGACGAGCCTGTAACTCTTGTGGTCCGAATCGGCCTTGGTGGCGTCAACATCGGCGCCGACCTCCACCTTACAGCAATAAGTCGTCGATATCGTTTAGACGGCACAGTAGCAGCAGCAGCAGCACCCATATGGCAGGAGCACAAAGCGAGGGCGTATTGAGGCACACCGACAAGACATCGCACCCCTATCTCGTCCTTTCACCCTTCATACGTGTCAGTGTTCAATACTGGAGGCAAGTGAGAGAGGATGCCAAGTGTCGCTTCTGTCTTAAGCCTCGGGTAGGGGTTCTTTGCCGCAATGGCGGTGAATGCACAGCGAACCCATGGAGCATGCACCTAGTCGAACAATAGCAGTCTTCTGGTTTCGTTACATAGCGAACCACACGTCGTTGGCACCGCCACTAGACTTAAGTGTTATCAGAGAGTAACCGCCTGACCCTGCCGTCTTGTCTATTCTCATTCTTTCAATGAACAAACAACAGCATGTTCAAATATACGAAATACGTGCGCGACATCTGCGCTGAAAAACACTCATGGCCTAGTGCAACCCTCACATTGTTTCCTGCGCCAGATATACGAATTATTCAAAAAAGTTCAGTATTGTACGTTGTTTGCACCCTCGCTACACAGCACGAGCACCTTGTCTGTAGTATGCATATGTCCTATATCCATGGAACACGGCAGTAGTCTACAGCAGTAGATCGTATCCAGATAAAATGCAGTGTTCGGAACCCGGTCAACGTCGAGGAGGCCACTCGGGGCCTGGAAGCTATTATTTAACTGCATTTTCCAAACGATTGCTGGAGGCAGCGCTCCGTAGTCGTCCCACCTTTAGCCCCACCAGCCTACTATGAGCTAGCTCCCCGCCTTGCACATCAGGTGCGCCCAGTACTAACTGCCCTCCCACCGCAGATAGTGCAGCTCAGGATGGTACATTGAGGTGGATGGTTGATATGCACATATTTTTTTAGCATCGCACCTGCGCAGTTCCTTTGCGACGAATATGTGGCGTCGGTGGTGGAGGAGGCTTTGCACTCTTGGCGACGTTGTAAGGCATTGTTTGGGACTCACTACCAAGTGACCTTGCTGTGCTTGGGAGTGGGAAGAGAAGTTGAGAAGCCTGCGCCGGGGCCTGCAACCAAAACCTTCGCCAGATTCTTGGGGGGGGGTGTGTTTGCGCGAAGTGCGTGCCCCCTCAAAACACGGCAAGCTCGGGTCCCCAGCTGGCTGTACTGCTGGGTCTTTATCTGTGTCCCTGTGCCTCTCTCCGTCGCTTGGTGCCCCTTTCTCTCTACCCCTTGTTCACCGTTGTGAGCCAAGGTACGGTCATTGGGGCTTAAGGGACTACAAACGTGAAAGCATCGACGAAACATACACTGAGAGTGGCCGGCTGCACTCAGCACTCTACGAGGCCTAGCCAGAGGGGACTCTCGCCATGCCGCACGACTACTCAGCTGATGTGTGTGGGATCGTCCTATACACCCTATTCTTTGGACTTGTATGCGTCCGGACTCGCCCTTTCCTGACGGATCGGCGTTCTCTATCGTCGACAGACCGCATCAAGCTGGCTTTCCACGTGTGCATCAACACCTCGGCTCTACTCGAAATCGGTGAGCACGTAGTCTTGCCTCTTGGCAGAGCATCCTTGAGAGTATCCATACAGCACAGCAGTATGCATATGCGGCGGGCCAAGTAGTCTTGCCTCTTGTTGTGACAGAGCATCCTTGAGAGTATCAATACAGCACAGCAGTATGCATGTACGGCGGGCCTGACGATTCCTCCAAATCTTTCTACTATCAGTACAATACGAATGAAACTCTTTTTTCTTGTACACACGAATGAAAACATGAAAACAACAGAGTAGCAAACAATCGAATATCGCATGTGCGCCCCCCCTCCCCCCTCCCCCGGCCGCTGTATCAGTGCACTACGCAATCGAGCTTGCCTTTCGGGGCTCGGTGCTGTCCGGCTACGCTTGCCACCTGGTTGGGCTGTGGCTGAGTCTGGTATCGTTCAGCCTTGTAATCGTCCTCTGGAGCAACACGCTTTACCCACCGGCTGCTGCCAGACAACAGCAGTGAGTGGGAATTGTTCGTTGGATTTGAGGCCCAGAAACATGTCCTCTGTTGGAGTCGGTATAAGCGTCGCATGTGTGCGTTGGCATTCAGTCGATACAAGTAGGCGTGTTCCCGTACCCAGCCGCGGTGACGGGGGAGAACATGGTGGATAGGCGGAAGGGGAGAGGAGATCCACTTGTGTAGCATGTCGTGTACGATTGGTGTGTTTTTGGTGCACGGGCACAAATGGTAACCTCGTCCAGTTACATCGAAGGGGCATGAAGCATTACTGGCAGGGCGTAACCTACTTCCCAAGAAAAGATAGGAGTAAGACGATGAGAAGACGGCTCTCTTGGACGGACAACTCAAATTTCAAATTTCTGCGTCAAGCTGGCTTCCGCACTTCAAGGCCGTAGTCCTTTTGGGTTACTTGCGTGTGGTCCGTGGGTTCCTGGAAGTAGTTACATGTAGAAGGTCACCGCTGCACCGTTTTGCCTTGTGGCAGCCTCACATCGTCGCCAAGAAACCCGAGAGTCTTTGCTCTTGTAGACACCAGTACGCTGTGTTGATGATGGTGACTCATGGAGTAGCCTTGGCAGGGTTCATCGATTGAGGAAACGTGTTGGATACAGCATACAACCGGGGAGGTAGGCGGTCCGATCCATGTGGGTATGCCCGGTGTTCAGCAACCAACCGGGCGCAGAACCAAATGGATTAAGATGTACAACCATTGCATTATTTCGATGCTTATGTGCACATGTGTGCATACAAGGTGCCTTCCGGAATGGGCTCGTGAAAGCGCAGTCAGTGGTCGTCAAGGGGTGATTCAACATGAAAAAGGAAAGCTGACTGCCAGCTGTGACGTTGTCCAACCTCGAGCAGCCCAAGCAGTTGACGCGCTTAGACTCGAAGAGCCCAGCGAATCGCACCGAATCAACACCTTGTTATCTGGAGTATACAGCAAGTCTTAAACGAGCATTATTCCTCAGTATGTGTTTCAATGTGTGGGCGCTGTGCTTTGCTTTCTTTCTACAGGAGAAACGCTCAGGGGGGCACCGCGGCGAACGGCGGCGGCAGCGATGATGAGCCGGCCGGATGGAGGTGCTGCGGAAAGACGAGGTGAGGGTGGGTTGAGAGCACCCGCTCCCATGGTTCATGACACCTGTATACTCGTGGCGCCACCAAATCGCTTTCTGTCCGAGGCTCGTTTCTTGTTCCTCTACTGCTGTCGCAGGAAAGTGGAGCAGTTAACAAAAATAATTATGAAAGAACGTTTGTGACCTTAGTCCTGTGTGTCCCCGGTTGACTCGTCAAACATACAAGCCGAGAGGTGTTTAGGCTGGCGCCAGAATACATGGGACGAGCACACACACACACACACACACACACATGTTTTCAGCCGAACTAAGACTGACATCTTTTCATTGGTCAGCCGGTTAGCACGGTCGATGCTAATAATAAAAACACACAACAGTCGGGTAAACCCATCAGCGACTGCTGTGCATACGTTGCAGACAGTGTAGGATTCGTAACTGAGCACGGGTAGCTCGTAAATTTCCAGTTCTTAGTTCCCTGGTCCCCTGTGTGGGTACGCGTTCTATACCCGACGACCAAGCCCCCGGTTGTCCGTCCCATCAACTCATGATGTCTGTGTGCCCTCTCCCCTCTCGGTCCGTTTGCTCTATTTTTCTCTTGTGTGAAGGATATCGGTTGCCGCCAAGTTCGTGTGCGCGATCGATGCCATCGTGGCCCTCGCGACGGTGGTGGTGCTATGGACCGGAAGCGTTCCCGCGTACTCCAGGCCCTACCTGATCCTGATGGTAACCCACAGGTGAGATGTTGTAGCTGCATGGCGATCGGGCCGGCATGCACATGTGGGTTAGGAGCTGTGTTCGTTCCCGGAAACATGGTGTCTCGACCGCGCGATGACAAAGATTTGCTTTTGATGCATAGCCTTGCCATGAACATAACACGATGTCTCGACCGCGCGTATTACAACGAAATGCTTTTGATGCCCAGCCTCTTCCCGTTGCCACTGCTGTTCGTTTACGCTTGCTCGTTGTTTCCCTCCCTCGCCCAGCGTGACGCTTTTCCTCTTGGCCTCGTGGCTTGTGCTTTACGGCATCCGCCTGCAAAGACGCGTCATGGGCCACCCGCGGTGAGCCGGTCGGTAGTATGTAGGTCTGTCCTATCCACGCTCCACGGAAAAGTTTGTCTCCTCAAGCGGTAGTCTATACGTACCTGGTACCACAACTTTTTCGAATCTGTATACAAGGAAAGTCGGGAGATAAAAACAACGCCGGGTAAAGAAGGTGGAGCTTGGCGGAGCGTTTAGTTTCAAGTCCATCGGTGGCGGCAGCATTCTCGCTACATGCCTTCCTAGCGCTGTGCCGCGTCCGCTAGAGGCACGCGCAGCAGCGACCGGCAGCACTCAAGAGCAACGGCAAGCAATACTGGAGACGTTTTGCTTTTTTTTCGCGGGCTTTTTTCTTGTGTGCCCGATGCAGGTGGGAGCCGCTCGATCGTCGGCAACGGCTAAAGATCCTGTGCCGCATCAACGGAGTGCTGGTGGTTTGCGCGGCTTGTTTTCTCGTGCGCGTGGCCGTGCTGTCGTCGGCCCTGTTCGTGCGCTCCCGGCACAGGTACGTGGTTGTCTGCCCTGGGAACGTTAATGTTCACAATCTTTGTGATTACTCTGCAGCACGGGCCCAGAGATAAGAAAAGTCAAAATCGTTTCAGTTTCGTGTTTTGTCGCCACTACACACTGCTGTCGAGCACAGGTTGCTATATAGAGTTCAGTGTAAGGATCCACCGCTGGTGTAGGTGTGTTTCTTCGCCCGTTTTTCTTGGTTTTCGTTAAAATGCGAGTCTCTGATCCTTTAACAAAATATTTCTCAAACTGCGGGCCCGTACTGCATGTGTGTGTTGTGTTTTCGTCCTCTTTATTATGGCGACAGTCCCCCCATTTTTCGTGGTGAGACGTATACTACCCTTTATTAGCGTATGTAGAGTACTTCACTTTTCAGTGTATTTTTTCGCAAAACTACAACCATCCAGGGTCACACTGGAGGGGGTAAAGTAATCACCAGGGCTTTTTTCTTCTTTTTTTTTTTCATGCCCCACCTTCTTCCTGCGGTGCGTGCTGAATTTTATTTTTATCGCGAGAAGGGTCCAGTCATCCCTTTCCCTCGTCAACGGTGCTAACGTCGAAGTTTGGTACTCACGAGAGCTTTCATTAGCTACATTTCGCTTTCACCCGCAAACTTCGTAAATTCTTCACTTCATGGGGATTCGAACTCACGACATCTGCAACCAGCGGATTACGATGGTACCACTAGACCACCGGGGCGACCGGCCTGTGGTGCATCAGAAGGGTCGATTCTCAACCCACGTACTTTATTCTTGTTTGTGTTGTTTTATTTTACTCCTGCGAGAACGGAGGGAGAACCGTAGGGCTGGATTGATTCCATCATCTGTGCCCAACCAAGCATCGTCGAGTGACGCGGCGGATCGCAAAGTGTCCTTTGCATGAGAGGCAATTGTGTGTGATTATTTGTATCGGTCGTCATAACTATCGCGGACTCACCCTCATAGAACAGGAGGGGGGTTCTGTTGTACGATTACGCCAGGTCGCGTAACGACCGCTGTAGCCGAGTGCTCGGTTCCACAAACGCGGCGCAACAGCAGACAGTAGTAGATTGGCGGCAAGGAGGGATGAATGGAGAGGGAAAGGGAGGTACCGCAAGCCTGCAAGCGATGAGGCACCCGCCTAGACCGCCGTTCAATGCTCCATGCTCCTCAGCCAAGGGGGCATTGGTTTCCGAAAGACGGCGGGTTTGGCAAGACTTTGCCTATAAGTCGCATAGAGCTTTCCTTTTGACAGCCCGAGGGTTTTCACAGCCTCTTGGTTATAGAGCAATTAATGGAGCTTCGAACCTTGATCTAGGGGGCGTGTGCCATCGTCAGCCTCGCAAGCTTGAGGTGGAAGGGAAGGGGGAAGGCGCAACCAGAAAACGAGGCAGGCGAGATTAGGCAGAGGGAGTTTCTGGATATGTACGTCAGGAGAACGAAGCGCGGTGTCAACAAGTCGTTCAGGGCGTGTACCCTTGTAGAAAGACAAACTTTTTGTTGGATGCTGGAGAGTGCCTTCTTTTGCGGCCTGATCTGGATGTTAGCCTTCTCGCTCCGCCTGTTCTGAGCGTTTTGTGGCCTTGTCCCTTATGAACTCGAACAAAACCATCCAAATCAGGGCGGAGGACATGAACAGGTTGCTGTTCGAAGTGTTGGCGAGGTGGGTGTCCGGGCTGATCCCCGGGGTGGCCCTCCTGCACATCATGTGCAAAGCCAAGAAGCCCGGGGAAGATCGGCCGCCGCCGGATCAAATGAGGTACTGCGTTCCTTGCTCGCACGTTCTCCTGCCATGTTGGCCTTTGTTCGCAACGGGCCGTCCGCCTGTGCACCTCGTGGAGTAGGGATTGTTTTGGGTTGTGGTCTATTTGATTGGCTATGCCGCATCCGTTTGTTTCGCTTGAGCTCGTTCTACAGGGATAACGCCGCAGTATGCGTACCACCATGTATGTTTCGTTCGAGGGAACAGGGAACAGGACAGATGTCGCGCTCCCAAACGGCGTTTTTTAGTTGCACTTCGATGCAGCTTCGTTTATGTTGTTTTCTCTCTGCTGACGAAAATCCTGGACACTTCTCATCATCTGTGGGTAAAAAGAGACGAAACCAGCTGTTGTCTTGTTTCTTGCAACAAGAATAACGTTTACCAGGTACTTCATACTCAACCAAAGAAATGCGTGGGTCTGCCCGCCCCTGCACCAGGCTTAGCGTGGTCAACGAGGACCAACCGTTGAACGAGCCGCTTCTACCGACACACCACGGGGGGGGGGGCTACGTCAGCATGGCCAAGAAGAAGCCCAACGGCAGCGCCGGCCGAGGGACGTCGTCGAACAGCCGTAGCGGGGAACGGGTAGGGAGAAGGGGCGGAGCGGGAGGGGCGAACGAGGGGCAGGCGGCTGGGAACGAAGAAGGGAACGACAGCTTTGCGTACCAGATTGTGAGGTCTCAGAGGGAGAGGACAGAAACGACCATCTGAAGCACGCTCGGGAGGTCTGCGTCGTCTCCGCTGTATATACTGTCATGTCGGGGTGTCATCCGATACTGGCATATGCCTAGACGTTTGGTGATGGGTAGTGCGCAAGCATTGCGTGGTTTTCGGGGGGGAAAGGGCAGTGGGGAACCGGGAGAGCGGGGGATGATATGTCTGTGTATGGCCTGTTTTGACAAGCGTGTAGCTTGTAGACGGGCGTTCTTTCTTTGTTTACATAGGTTGCTGTATGTGCTTCACTAGTAATGCTCATCCCTCAGGATGCGGATAGACCCAGAGTGTTGGCTCTCGGTGTTGAAAGCTGTAGAGCCGCGGCCGGCCGTTGTTTGGTTGCGAGTCTGTCCTCTACCAAATTTAGTCGTAGTGGCTGCCCTGAACAATGTATATTTTTTAGGGTCAGCCTAAGTCACACGCACATTTTGCTGGCACGCACAGCGTTGGTAATAGGGTGCACAATGCTCATGTAATACACTTGCGAGTGTGGATGGAGTAGCGGGGATGCGTGATAAGAGTGGCGATTACATTGTTTTTTTTGCTGAATATGACCCAACGAAATCATCTCTAGTCTAAGAAAACTTTCAAACGAACGCGCCCCGCCCGCACTCTGTCGACCGGGTCTTCCGACTGCTCTGCGCCCGCATACTCTCAACGAGGCCGGTGAGGCACATACGGGTTGCTCTTGCTGGCGGGACACTTTTGGCTATGTTGTTGTGTTTGTTTCCCAAGACATTGTGTAACGAACAGACAAGGTAAACCGTCCGTCCAGGGGTGAAAGGAAATCATCATGTTTCTGCTGTCAGTTCATGTGCTGGACTTCCTGCTGCCGCGCGTACTTTTCGACAGTTCGCAGGCTGGCTGGAGATATGGGTAGACTGCTGCTGGCGTAGTACGCCGTGCCGTACGTGTTGCTGTTACCTCGTACACAGGCTTCTTGGAGAGGCGTTTTGTTCCTGCGTGTGGCTGCGTGGAGCGTGAACAGAGGTAGTGGAGGAGTGGAGGAGGCCGTGGAGACGGGACAACTTTTCTCGGAGACTTTACGCAACCTCATAAGTACAACACATATTCCCGTTTTTCTCATTTCGTCGCTGATTTTCAGTGAACTCTTTAATTATGCTACATCCATGTAACCTTTTTCTTGCTACGTGTGCGTGTTCTTTAGATCCTCAGATGGCTCTAGCACTTTCGTGACCACGGGCCGAGAGTCTTTGCTAGATTTTGGCATTTAGCAACTGGCATTAAAAAAAAAAAAAAGGAAGGAAGAAGAGCAACAAC